GGGACCCCTGTGTAAATCCTAAAGAAAGAGGAATCACCCAGGGAAAGGGAAGAGGGTCAGATGTTAGTTAAGGCCATGTATGCTTCAGAATGTTAAGGATACCCATGTGTGAAGAGGAAAAAACAAAGAATATGAGTAAAAAGAACTAGTCGATTATCAAAGAATAGGAAACAGTGGAAGTATGTTGAGTTCGTGCCTTTAAACCTCTATTCTCGTGTTAATTTGTAACTAAGCCATAGAACAGTTTGTAAAGAATATTTCTGGGTGCCCAGGAAATAGTTCATTTAATTTATCTCCAGTATCAGCGACCTTTGCAAATGAACACTCTGTACTGCACACCCGGTAATTTTTCTCGTGAGAGTAAGCTGTCTCCTTGGAGTTTTCGGGTCGTCACACTCTAGTCAGGCTGACACGTCCACACACCCAGGCATTCAGACGGGTACAGGACACATCTCGGTGTCTCCCCTTGGCTCACAGATCTTACTGACATCTATTTACTGGACGTACAGGGAAAATCACTTATTTAAGGTCTTCCCTTGGGTAGTAGAATGCTCTGCGAAATGGTAGACTTCATGGAAGCAGAGGCCTTTTCTCCCGTGTTCACGCTTCTGTCTTCAATGCCTCGAACTTAACTGTGTTGACTGTCACCCTCGCTGATCAGACTGCCCTGTTCTAGTTGAACAGCACTACTCTCGATTCTGTTTTCACCTACAACGTTAAGTCTCAAACATGTTGTGTTTTGCTTAACATAACGGAGAGGAAAATCGACGTTGATAATCATCAAAAAGTGTCTCCTGATCCAGTGGAGGGAAGAGGATCACAGAGACAGGGGCCTTCAGATTGTACTGGCTGCTTTGTTAAAGGTTCCAAACCACTGTCATCCAGACATTCTTAATGTTTTCTTCAAGCATGATTACATTTGTATTTTGACCCTTTACTGCAAAGGATAATAAATTTAGTTTTTCTGTTTTAGCTAATGTAACATTTTCGTTTTTTCCAGAAATCTACATCAATGCG